ACGAAATTCAATGGCACAGGTATGCACATCCGATCCTTGGGGACTGATCGCCACCCTGCCATACGGAAGCACATGGAGACCCAGGAGCCCGGAATTGCCGACTACTTCGACATTTGGCACATCTCCAAAAGTAAGCAATTGTCAAAGCCTATTTATGTAGGTGACATTTTCTAGTGAAGCTGCCGCAGGATTTCATTAAATTGCTTTTTAATTTTTAGGTGTGAAGAAAAAGATGGCGGCAGCAAGCAAACGAGCCGGCTGCCCAGAACTTGCAGGCGACCACCAACCACCTCTACTATTCGGCCAAGGCTGGGGCGGCCGACAGGAAACTGACCGTCGACGTGTGGCTCAGTCTCCAGAACCATGCCATCAAAGAACACACGGGCCATGGCGGGAGCTATCCCAGGTGTCTGCACAACGAGATACAAGACAGCACAAGAAAGTGGATGGATCCTAGTAGGTTTTTATTCTCCCAACTGAGGGTGCTCATTCTAAACCATGTCCTATCTGCAGACTCCCAGGCCTATGACCACCTAAAAAAAATCACTGGGGACAAGCGGCTCCTGAAGGACGTTGGCCAGATGTCTCCCCATGGCGAGACGTACGCCCTTGAGGCGTTCCACAGCGTCCTCATAAATTTCGCCCCAAAGTCCCAGGCATTTTCTCCGGCTGGCATGCTTGCAAGGTAATTACAGAAATACATTTTGTCTGGAAGTCAGGTGCAGTGATGTCTCGTTAATATTCGCATGCCCATACCCCCCAAAATCGTTCATGGTGAGAGTTTTCCATAATAATGACAAATGCAAGTAATTGCAAAATTCATACCAGAAAATGCTGTCTATATAGTAGGGTATCCAATAAGGGTTCTCCTTACAGTGGGTAGCAGTGGTTACGCTGCCCGCCCGTCGAGCAGACCGCCCTTCTGTTTGATGTATCATCCACCTCAATATTTTACCAACGCTGGACGAGTTGTCACCGATTTATCAAATACACAATGCCCCCATCGTCATATTTGTGAGGTGGCCATTGCACAAGGCATAAATACAAATCTCAGCAAAAAACAAAAAAAATCAACAAAAAAACATTGCTGCATTGGTGAAAAAGGACTAAAGGTTATTACACAAATCAAACATGCCCCACCCCCCCTCCCAGAAAAATTGTCAGACGACCACATCTCAAATATTTCTCGGAAAACTCTGGTATCCATATTAACGGGGTCGAAATTTACAAAACATTACAGCATCTGAATTACCAAGAAGTTGATAAGGTCCAAATTTACAAAACATAACAGCATCCGAATTACCAAGGAGTTGGTTTGCCATTGTTTTGCACAATGGCAAAGCTTTTCGAGATCGGTCCTTTTCAAAATCCTTTGGTTTTACAACATTACGGCCTATATGCATGTTTCTTTTTCCAAGAAAAATATTCAGCACAGGGTTTATGTGTCCCTTTCAATTTGTTATAAGGAGTACTGCAACTGACTGCCGCTTGCACATATATCTCTATCATAACGCGTATGTTCAGGCTTACCAATGCAGTTTTGGCGCAAGTACAAATATCTAAGGGGGGACTTCTACCAGGCTGCGATTTATATACAAACATTTTTGTAAAACCATTCAATGATGCGGGGTGGGCTGCTTATAGGCCAAAATGTACAGTGATTCTTGGTGGCACATTTCATCTTCACGGAAATATCACCATCATGCAGGACACGACTTGCAATCTTGCATTACAACGAAAACTCGAACCGCTGCCAAGCTGGACGCAACAGGGCGATCCATGTTTCACGGTGACCACATCAAAGGCACGGAAGGGACACGCCACAGCACGTGAAAAGAAAACGGATCCAACTTATGGTAAGTGTGGCTCCTAATCCAGGCAGAAGCTTTGCTCGGTGCATATTGGAATGTTATCATGCATATGCTTCAATTTCAGAGTAGGTTGGAAAGCTAGTCCGGGAGGTGATGGCCAGCAACGAGCAGTGCACGTCCCTTGATGAGGCAGCAATAGCCAAGGAACGCATCTTTCCGGCACCCATGAATGCCGCCTTCACGAGGCCTTCCAAAAGGGAACTCGTGGAGGCAAGGAGGTCCCGGTTCGGCCAAGTTACCCCGTGAGGCACCTCCTCAAATCCCTCCTGTCACCCGTGCACTCAATGGTAAGTTTCCAAGGCCCCTTCACCTGCCAGGTGAAGCCAAGTTCCAGGCTGAGACAACACGTTTCCTTTTGCAGGACACCTGCCTCGGCCAAGCGGGCGTTAGGGGGCATGGTTAACACATCGAAGGCACGGAAGGGACATGCCACAGCACGAGAAAAGAAAACGAATCCAACGTATGGTAAGTGTGGCTCCAAATCCAGGCTGAAGCTTTGCTCCGTGCGTTTTGGAATGTTATCATGCATATGCTTCAATTTCAGAGTACGTTGGAAAGCTAGTCCAGGAGGCGATGGCCAGCAACGAGCAGTGCACGTCCCTCGATGAGGCAGCAATAGCCGAGAAGCGGAACTTTCCGGGCCCCAATAATGCCGCCTTTACAAGGCCTTCCAAAAGGGAACTCGTGGAGGCAAAGAGGTCCCGGTTCGGCCAGGTTACCTTGTGAGAAACCCCCTCAAATCCCTCTTGTCACCCGTGCACTCGATGGTAAGTTTCCAAGGCCCCTTCACCTGCCAGGTGAAGCCAAGTTCCAGGCTGAGATAACACGTTTCGTTTCGCAGGACACCTGCCTCGGCCAAGCGAACACGCACGGAAGGGGGGATCTTGCAGACCCGCTCCTTATCCTGTTACGAGAGCCCGACCTGCAGCAATGAGAACGTCAGTTGTAACTGCAGTAATTTGTCAGAGCTGATGAGATCCATTGTGATAATGAAATTTCGATTCCAGGATCATCGACCAGCCGATAAAGCAACACGAAGGCTCAAGTTCTGGGAGCTGCCATGTAGTCAGATGTGCCAAACTTGCCAGGGGAAATTTGATACCGTGAACCATAACAGAAAAAGCCAGTGCTGCAGCTTTTTCTTTATTATGTACTATTTGCAAATAGGTTAAAACAGTGCAGATCATCGTGACCCTGATAATTTTGCCCTACATGGCACTAATTACTGCATTGTTTCATCAATAACACAAAGGAAGTAGTGACCAGTAAATTCTTGCAATTTTATGCAGCTCTTTACACGGGATCCTAGTCTAAATTCACAAGCTTAGTATGTTGTCAATGTTTTCCTAATTGCGATACTGAAGCCCCAAGCACTATAAGCAATATGGCTCACAAATGTGTCTGCTCTTTGCTACGTTTGTTCACTTCCTGCATGCGACCATAGGCTTTTGTACTCTCCCAATGGCAGCATGGGCTTGGCTGCCTCATTGTTGCGCGTTCTTTGTGCTATCTTTTTGTCGCCGTTAATTGGTCTGACCCTTGTATTCTACTGCACCAAAACAAGTTTAGAAACACTCACTGTCATGACATTTTTCCATGTCCCCCAAACGTAATGCAGTATTGACTTTTCTTTTCATGTGCTCCCACGCTGACATCCTGAAGAGGCTGCGCCTTGGCAAAGCAGCTCTCCCGTTAGTTTCTAATAAATGGGGTTTTCATCCAGGAGGTAGACTGGAACTGTAAAAATAAATTTGGGCAACTGTGCATGACAGCACACGGACAGCTAACCTCAACACCATTCATACTTGGGAAGGAAAAAACAGTTTCCAGTCTACACCACGGTCCCCCCCCCCCCCCCCCATCTGCAACACTGTCTCCTTTCGATCATTGACTTGTTCACAAAGCAACCTATTATATTGACACACCTTGCTAATTTATGCTCTGGCTTGTTTTATCACGACCTTTTGCATGATTATTCCAGCTCCAAGGAGCATGCTGAAAGTGCAGTTACACACAGTGGCATCTGCAACAGTTTCAAACGCCAACACATGCACACTCAACACTTGGCTACATCCCCACCTCTCCCCTTTGTGTGTTAGCAAAAGATCCAATTTTAGCTGAAAAGAATGTCAAGTAAAGATGCCTTTTTACTGGGTAACTTGTATGTGCATTGCAGGAATAAGAGCAAGAATTCCTAATTAGTGTTCGAGTCTTCCTAGCCAATTTGGCTCCGAGAACACAGCACTTGGCTAGGCTTTACATGAAAACAATCTGTCCATGCTCGTGTTCTCCAGTCTTTCCCTTCGTCGGTATCTAGTGGCGTTGTTCCAAAAATAATGTGTTATTCACAAAATCCGTCAAGTCGGTGAAAAAAATTATTTTGAAAAAACGTGCTTTTTCTCAAAGGTTACCCAGACGCCGCACAGACATCCTAAGGACATCCTAGGGATGTCCAGTCCGGGATTTTGGGAAGTCCCAGGGATGTCCCAAAGAAGGCCGAAAAACATCCCAAGTGATACAAAAAAAGACTTATCCGGGATGTCCCAAACTATGCAATGTTGGGACTTCATTGGGATATTTATTTTGCAGGCTCTCTTTTGCTACTCGTACCAGATTTATCTGGAGGCCACCATTGCTGTCTGGCCATTTTTAAAGGCCCGATGGCAAAAACATACACAAATGCTTTAGCCAAACTGTTGCTGCGCCACTAAACACTGAATTCAGTGTTTAGTAACGCAGCAACAGTTTGGCTAAAGCATCCCCGAGTGCTTCCTGTTGCAAAAGCTGGTTCTTTAATCAATATTGTATACAAAAAGGTAATCGACTCAGAGCAAATGCATGATTGAGCACAATACTAACTGATACACCTGTTTTTGACTGGTCAAGTTCTCAGGGTGTCATGGCTCTTTGAAAACTGTCAAAGGAAAAATAACTGCTTGAAATTCCACCATGCAAATGTGCCAGAGGACGAGCTATTGTAGAAATTTTTTCCAATGTAACTATATATAAGGATGAGGACTTGAAAAAATGTGTACAAAAAACAGTTTTATTATGCCACCATATGTCTAGGCATAAAAATGGTTACAGTGTTAGTCCGTGCCAGGACATAAAAATTATTAAAAAATGTGATTAATCCGTGCCAGCATCAGCTGCTGTTGGGCTCGTTGTTGCAGCCAAAGCTCTGTCCTCTCCTGCTGCCCGTTCTGTTGCATGGCGGAACCACGACATGCCGGCCTTCTCAATATCCTTCAGCGTGGCTCGCTTGACATTCTCTGCGACCGAGCCATCACAGTCGACCAGGGTGCCTGCATAAAATCAAAAAGTACTCTTGTTAGTAAGCCAGATGACTGCAGACCCAAAAATATGGGATGCCTGCTTTGTGCGCTAGCAACAAGCTGCTGTCTTAGATGGCAACAGCTGGTGGTCCTGCAGCCCACTACAACCACCACTGAGCTTGCCACCAACCACTTTCATTACTGTGCACGCTGCCACGGCAGGAGTGCACCGCCTCTACTTGGCAGCCTGCTGTACAATCAATTCATGATGAACCTAAATGTGAACGAGCATGTATTGAGAACAATACGTGAAGGACTAGCCGAAGTCAGCAATGCATCCTTGTATCACACGTAGCACCAAAAGACACCGAACAGCGGGCATCATGTGGAGTCTCATGTTCCTGCCTACCGTGATAAGAAGCCGTTGTAATGCGAGTCATACTAGTTTTTATTATTTTTGTGCGCTGCGTCACATCTGCATTTCAGAACTGTTGAATGATGATTATGTGCACCAAGAACAAACGCAACAGATTTCCAATGTAAATAAACATGTAACTTACTGCATAAGAGCTTGCAGATGTTGAGCTCAATGAACTTCCGCTTGCCTTTGGTACCAAACCAGGTGATCTGCATTGCCACTTTCCATGTCAGTAAGCTTTTCAGGATGCTGGTTGTTTTTTCCTTAACGTTGTCCCCACCCTGGACGATCATGTGCTTCTTCTGGTAGAAGGAACCAACAACAAAATATCAGCGAACAAGAAAGCTTGTCCTCAAGGTGCAAACGCCTTGCAACTTTGATGGCTCGCAGTAGTCAGCAACAGCTTATTCACAAGAAGGCAGTCCATACGTAAAAAAATATGTACGGCATCGTGAGCTAACTCCAAAGTATTGCCTGTGAAATATTCGTGCACTGCAATAACCCTAATCTCGGCTCTTTTGTCTGATATTATCGTTGACAACCTCCTACGCTCGTGCTCGAGGAGGTGAAGTGGTCTAAGCCTGTTTGCTAAGTTCCTGTGCGATTTTGTTTGCTCCGCGCCATAGCTGGCCATTTTACTGATGTGCTATGGGGGAAATGGCTTGTTTGGTTCCCCAGTAATAAATGTAATCACCTCAGAAACCAACCTGGGCCGCAATGGGGGCAGCGCACAATGCAGATAAATATGCGACATCCTTTGACATGTTAGCCAGCGTGGAAAGATGGGAGCACAAAAGGAAAACACAGGGCTAGGTCCTGTGTGTTTCTTCTCTTTTCTTTTTAAAATAAACATGGCACAGACATGTATGCCCGGTTGTTCAGCTAAAATTCTAAAAAGAGGTGACAAAAGTGGGCTAGGCCGCAATTAAACAGTAAAGATGACTTAAGACGCGCAGTAAACATGTATAAATAAGGATTGCTGAATGCAGTTAGTGGATGATTGTTAGCCATGAAAAATGTAGAAGATCCGGCAAAAGAAATAGCTGCTTAACGACAGGTTTCACTTTGAATACCTGTCTGAAAGCAAGAGAAGAGTTTTAAGCGCAAGGGCACATAAAAATTGCTGATTACCATTCGAAGTTGTGCTTCCTTGCTCTTTTTTATCTCTTCATCCCACTCCAAAAGATCACGCAGCGTCATGAATGGCAGGTCAGGCAGGCCTTGCGAGTTTGTACCCGGCAGCTCCACGTTCGTCCTAAGCTCTACTAAGAGCTGCGTATGCGTCTGCTGTGTCAGCTTGATGCTGTTCATGACGCACAGTATTCTTTCCATGAAGGCTGAAAAAAGAACTGACATTCAGCTAAAAGCCATGCGCTTCATTAAATACCAATTTACATGCATTGTCAGTACACTTAAGTAGACCAAGACTGTTTTCATATCCCTTCTACGATTTTAGTGCATAACATACAAAGGCTGCACATATTGTCCGTTCCCATAATCTGTGACAAAAAAAGCAGGCAAGAGACCTAAAAAGCACGATTATATTGGTCGCATACCAAAAACTTGTGGATCCATCTGAGATGTTGCATGCCCAGGAGGCAAAGTTGTTCGGGTCACGGGCGCAGCTGAAATAGAAAACAAGACGTGAAATTTTGCTAAGCTTCAAGCTGTGCGATGTAAGCCTGGAGGCACCATGGCAACATGCAGGGAAACTGCTCCAGAACATGCAAATTGGCGACGTGGAAATTGGGAAGACACCAGTAAATAACATTCTCTTCTTTTATAAGTGAAGAATTGCATACCACACTCTTGTGTAGGGAGCTGTACTGCAGTGTCCTCGGCTTGTTTTGATCGCCGTGGAGTACCACCATGTGGGCCTACACACCATTTGAATGTTAGGCAGTGGTGACACTTCGGTAAGATAAAAATGGGTGCAAGTAATATTCATTAAATAGCTGAATAGCTGAACTTACTGCTACGCTGGAGGCCCATGTGCCGGCTTCCACGATCAGTGGATGCTGCATGTACTGGGCTGATATCATCTAAAGATGATCATAAATATTAGCCAAAACACTTCACTTTTTACATGGTATCTTTTTTAAATGTGTCTAAAGTTACCTTGCTGTGGCACCCATCTCCCTGAGAAGGCTGGAGCTGTGCTTTCCAAAGAAGCTGCAAGCAATATAATAGGCTTTCATAACAGTAACAAGCACAGGCCTGCCACTTGCCATGCCATTTTTTGAAGTAATAAGCACAGAAAAAGGAGTGGGTGTCGTGATGCTGCGAAGGTGTTTGAGTGTTGGCAAAACACTGCTAGAGCATAAATAAGCAATGAAAAAGGAGAAGGGAGGAACTATGGTAAAGACTGCTTGCAGCTCCCAAAGACACACCAGCTTGCAGACTGCTGCGAGGGGACCTCCAGCTTTTAAGTGCAGCTGTAGGACTGACAGATGCAGCTGAAATTGAAGAGAAAAATTGTTGTGCTGGCTTACACCATGCCAGAAGAGAAAAATTAAAGCAATCAAAATTAAGCCTTCATTTGTACTGCTGCCGGATGCTCAGTTTTGCAGGAAGAGGTGTTAAAGCTGGCTCATAGTGGGGCAGTAGTAAATAAATACAATAATGTACATTTGCAAGCCAAGTGCTAGACACTAGAATAGAAACTTGTGCACACAGTCACAAGGTCCAAATGGTTCAGTAGAGCTGTTTCCCCCCCCCCCCCCCCCCCCCCTCTGGTGCTGCAAATTAAGTGCTAGTGCCTTTAGATGCCATTTCACTGATGCCATCCGTAAATGGGAACCAAAAAAAGGCACCTACCGTGGCAAACATATCTTAAAAAATGCATAACGCACCTGCTGTCATCACTTCTTGTGCTCTGGTTGCCCTGGATGACAGCGCATGAACAGGTGTTATGTTCGACCCATCTGAAATTCAAAGCCAGTTGAGCACAATCCGATCAGACAGCATTCTTGCAGTCACACTTAAAGTAGCTCACCAGCATTGCAAATATTCTTGTTTCCCCCAAAAAACGTTTTCATACCAGCATGTTTCTGCATCTGTGGTGGCATTGGTGGCCTTGGTGGCAGGTAATCCCCATCACTGCCTGTACTGTCGGAGCTGCCACCTTGATCACTCTCATAGTCTGACGGAAGGGCACAGCGCCTTTTTCTTTTGCCTCGTCCCAGCTCCTTCTCACTGTTTAAATCTGAGCCGTATTCCAGCACCCCCATTTTCTCATGTGCCATCTCATAGTCATCTGAAAAAAAAAATATTGTCATGAAAACGGAAAAATACGTAACACGAGGATGCAGCCTTACCAGTCCAAAACTTTACTACACATCTTGCCTGGCTCCAATCAGGTGATGGTGTGGCTCCTTCTATGACCATTCGCCGGTGCTTATTTGGGTTCTTTACTTGAGGCCAGAATGTTCTGTCATATCTGGCACTCAGCCACGACCTGTGCACAACAGCCAGGGTGTTTTTCTCGTCGGGGAAAACCACTACAGCATACTTCTCACCTAAAAAATGTAAAAATGGACACTATGTTGATAAACAGCGCATAAATAGCACTTGGGGAAAAAGCCTACACAGTGAAAGTTTTTTTTCTTGTTTTTGTTTGCCATATTTTGGACAAAAAGGGCGCGATTGAGCGGAGAATGCGACGTGGCCATTCTCCGGGAGCGGTTGAGAATGAACGAACCCAGGATCCCTAGGTTCTAAGTGCAAGCTTTCGCTCCAAGTGCTCAGAGCTGAGACGTGATAGCCCACTCGGCTATCGATACCCCCCACAGATTTAAGCTTCGGCCAAATACTGTCTTTATTTGTTTAGAATGTTGTTCCAACCAGCCGAGGCCAGTGCACTTCTATACGCTGTTTACTTCCTGAAACATATTTATTTTGGTAGAAAAGTACAATCACAAACAAGACTGAAGGCTTTTCACACAGGGCCTCAGTGTCACCAGAAACATATATACATTAGTCTAAGCACAGTGTGTATAATAAAACATCCACAAAAATAAGGAGGGTAGTTGGAGGCACATCGCACTAAGAAAATATGCAATCTGAAGCTTTGCAGAAAAAGTTGTCGCACACAAGCACTGGTGTACCATAATGCTTTTTCTACTTTAACACACATTCAGTTGGGATAACCTTGAGCAGACTGGCAATATAAAAAGTTTCCAATTGAGAGTGAGGACTACAAATAGCACATGAGAAGGCAATAGAGCCTACTGCAGGTGCACCATCGGAAACACAGCGTATCTGCTACCAATGGGGAGCCTTACACACTTCAGAGCGATTTCTGACAATGGCCAGAATTGGAGGTTGGAAAGCTTAGATGCAACAAATATGTTAAGCAGCGAAGAGCTACATGGGTAGGTGTACAGTTCCTTCAGATTTTCATACTTCCTTCCGACCAGAACACACACATGGTCTACAGCAGAGAATGCAAAGTTTTCAACCTTCACAACGCTACGATCCTTTAGCATGCATGTACAGTCCCCTTTGCTCGTCCTGATAGTCACATCTGAACAAACTTGTAGAGCTTTGTGCTCAGGTCCTACACAACCAAGTGGTAGTGGGCCACCCTCATGCCTCACTACCAGTCTCATAGTTTCTCCTCTTACGGATCCAGGAGCAGACAGAGGAAACCATGCATCTGGCCCGCTGCACGTGTTAGCAGCTGAGTGCATAGACAGTTTCCGTTCTTCCATAATCCGATTATACAATTGCTCAAGAGGCCTTTCTGGCTTTCGCATATAGTCATTCAGCTTAGACATGTAATTTTCAAATGGAAATGCACTGTATCCATGTAGGCAGCCATGAATTCGAACATCATCCGCTACATGAATGAGGCCATGTACATTGTGCGAAACTGCATGTCTCCCATACAGCACAATATAAGTTTCAACAAAATGTGCAAGCAGCCTCTCTGCATAATCTAAGTACTGAGCACAAGATGATGGACTACAAAGTATGCTCACAGCACAGTGCAAGGTCATAAAGTTGTCCCGTAGGCTATCTGGTATTGTTGACTTAAGAACTACCGGGCCAGCATAAAGCAAAAAGAGCCGAAACTCGGAAGCCTTCCACCTGTCAAGTTCTGCCAAACCTCGTGGCTTTCTAGACATGTCTGATGGCACATAGTGCCGGAGCTCAATGTTAGCTGCTGACAGAGACTCCCTTGATGCAGCTCCCACTCGATAGGTTTTTTCACCTTTTGTCCACAGCACCAGGAGCTTGCGAACTACCCCTAGACATATGAGGTGCATGTAATCATGTGGCACCTGGCGAATTAAGTCTATAGGCAGTTCCTTTAGAATTGTCTCCATCGTGTGGTGCTCTTCCTGCTCCGCACTCCGAAAACTGGCATCAGTTCGCAAAGGGGCACGGAGATCAGGGAAACACATACGGCCATTCAGAAAATCTCCTTCCGTTGTGCACTTGGGACAGCTAAAGTACCCAGTATGTCCTTTGATACCCAGAATGTATGCTTTCGCAGGCGCATCACAGACTACCGCCCCAACTTTCACAGAGATGCTTTGGCTTCCAATAACAACACCTTGCTGCAAGGCCTCTTTCAGCTCGGACACACAGCATTCAAGAAAGACATTCGCGTCCAGTGCCTTGCACTTCCCAAAATAGACACCTATAGGGAATGGCTCACTGCGCTCACAGTTGGCCACCTTACAGAGAATTGGCCAGAACTGGTCTCGCGTGCTTTTAGTCAAAGGTAGTCCGTCTACGTTTAGATGGACGACTACTGGGTTAGGCACTGGTTGGATGTTTTTTAATGCTGCCAGAAGGCCCTCGGCTAAGCCAAAGTGACAATATTGGCCTGAGCCCATGGGCTTAACCTTGTCCGCCAACCTCGGAGTAGATAACAGTGCCCTGGCGCTCTTTGGGAGGCTAGAAAAACACGGGTGCGACCGGAGTACGTCCAAAAGATGCGTCACAGTGTCATGAGGCACACCTCTCTCAATGCTCCAGTGCCGAAGCTGGTCCCTGAAAGACAAGGCGTCAGCTTGTTCTTCTCGGGTCAATTCGAAATGAGACGGAGTGGCAACTTGCGCTCGGACCGTCCCGCTACAAGACACGTCGTTTTTCAGACAGCTGCCGCGGCCGTCAGTGCCATCGCCGATGTCGGGGTGCTCATGCGAAGTAGCAGAAGACGGGCATTCGGCTGCGCAGGCTGGCTGACATGAAAGGCGCACACTCGATTCAGGAGCCACCTCCACTGCAGAGCACGAAGTCAAACCTCCCGGTGACAGTTCGCATTCCGACATGGAAGGCACACCGGAATTTTCGGCTAAACACGAACTTCCTTCGCCAGCTGACAGTATTACGTTCATGTCGTCTTGCACTGCGCGGCGCACCCGCCGAAAGGCCGTCATTCTCGAAAGGTCGGCCATCTTCGATAGTCGGCCGATCGTGCCACTAGCGCGAACGCACTAGTGCGACAGTGAAGCGAAATGTGAAGCAGCGTCGTCAGCCAGCGTCAGTGCGCCACTTTTAAAAGAATGTATTGCCCGTGGCAACACTCACTGCCACAAGCCATGCTCGCCATGAAAAGCGCGGGATCCGCTTCTGCGCAGTCTTCAGGTCCCGCCGACCAGCACTAGCAGGGGAACAAAGACGACGCCAAAACAATGTTTATCAATGACCACGTTGGTGTCGAGGCAATAACAAATAAAGTAGAGACAAAACAAAACAATAACAATTACCTTGAAAATGCGCGCTCCAAAGCGCGAGACTTCCCGATTCCCGCTGCAAACTCACGTTCAAGCAAGCACGCCTAGCATCAGCGAAAATGGCGCCAAACCGAAGCCAAAAATTGATGATGATAGCATCGCAGTTCTAAAATATAAGGTTAAAATGAATAAATATCACACAAAACGATTTTTACTTACATACATAAGAAAAAATATTGATTTACAAGCATTTACAATATTTTATTAACATTAAAAAATGAAAACGAAACTCATTTCACCGGCGCGGGTTTTCTGGGCATCTGCTGCGGGTGTTGCGAGCAAATCACGATTCGGTGTCTCAAATCGGCCGGTGTCTATCAGATTTTTTAAACTACAATTTTGCACCGTACGAAATTTGACGTGTACGTTGGCCTCGCGGTTACCGGCGTTCAGAAGTACCTCCTTTCTGTTCGTGTTTGTTTCCTTTTATTCGCTGTAGGTTTTAAGGAAGATGCAGAAATGTTTACATGCAAATGTTTACGCACGGGGGCAAGTGCACGCGCACCAACACCACTGACGTCCCGATCACCCATATTCCGGGACATGTTAGGGATGATCCCTTAAAGGACGTCTTTAGGACGTCCCCTGGAGCTCCCTCTTTGGATGTGGGAAGTTAGGACATTTTCGGGACGTCCCTGGGATGTTTGGTGTTGTCTGGGTATGGGAAACTCTCAAAGTGCCTTGGATTCGCCTCAATGGCTCGTAGCATCCACAGCATTAGGTGACACGGAGTATAGCAGTAAGTACTCAAAGGCGCCAAGAAGATGGCAGCCAATGAAAACTCCCAATGTTCTCGCTGAAACAGGGAAATCGATAATGATGTTGAACTGGACTAAAATAATTTGTCATCTGGTTCTAACGCCTAACATTACATTTGGGCGAAGAACGACTGCTGGGCAATGCATTTGTTTAGCGCTATTATTTTTTTAAAGGGAGGGGTACCGAAACCCGAAGTAGGTGTCGCTGGCAAAGTGACCTCTAATTGCCTTGACCATGCAGGAGGGCAGTGGTCGCCTGTTCTTCTGTTCAAGTCTCCGCCACAGCCAAAGCACACACTGCCTATAGGCAGCGAACCGGAAGCGCCTGAAACAATGTCCACATTTATTGAATGTAAGGAACACCTACCA